AATAGTGCATACATATTTTTGTGGATGCTTCGATATAAAAACAAAACACGGCTGCTTACGCGTTCCAGCTGGAATGCATTCAAATAGACCTAACACAAATTAAATTTGTTCTCCAAGATCTAGAGTTGACACTGGACTCCAAATTATCCAGCTTAACCCTTTTGAATCGCGTGATGGCAATTGCCATCATTAATTTAGGGATCTGCTTTACTGACGCATGGTCATGTTTTCAATACTCATTGCTGCAGATAACATCATGCAACTTTTGCCTTTCAAATTCAACATTGAAACCTCCTTTTCATTTGTTTCCTTGCCAGCAAAACAAGCATTTCTGTAAACAAGTGAATAGCCCCCAACCAATAAATTGCTCTGAATGCTAAGCCTCAGTAATCTCGTTCATCAGCTGGAAATTATATACATACTAAAAACTTTGAGTATAATGTTATGCAAGTGTATTTGCTTATCATTCGCGGGTGAACATGTATTGGAGAACATTCGAAAATTAGAATAGTTTATATGGTTGAAAAGTCTCCAAACTCTGTGATGTTCTTCATATGGTAGCAATTGAAAACATTAGAAATGAGGTTTCTCTGCTTATGTCGGAAAATTTAGGGTCGTAAGGGTTAACCAAACAGATCCAAAGTGCATCGTTAAGAGAATAGCAGCTGAACTTACAACTAAGGTAGATACGAACTAATCTGCCAGCGAATACGGCTCTATTTTACATTCCAAAATACTTGAAACTAGTACAGTAAGACGGTATATTAAGAATACCTTAAATTTTTTGAGTTGTTGTTAATGTCTGTGATTTCATGCAAAAATAAATCCAGGACTTTCTTGAACGATTGTAGAAAGAGATGAAACCAAGAGAATATTTCAAGTTCAAACAATGAAAATACCATGTACCAATGTTTAGTGCACGCCAAAGGGCAACTGTTTACACCCACGTGATACTTTAGTCGCCTTATAGATGTACCTGTATACTATCCAGCAAGCTATTCAATGACATCTGGTCAAAGAAGACCTTAGGATTGAAAGCAATGGCACTACATAAATACTTCTAAAACGTACATAGAGTGTCTGAACAACATGCTACGGCAACTTATATGCTTAATATGCTTCCTCGTAAGTTTCACCTTCTTTTCTTTTTGGTCAATTAACATCATAACAAATTATAGGTACCTTTTGCTTCAACGGGTGCCACTCAGCTTGTACCGATACGCTGCGGTTCAAGTAATTCGACAACACCTGAAATTCCTGCATGGAAAGCAAGTGACAACGAACTAAACACTTATAACGACTTGTTAGGAGAAGTTCTCAGTGTATTCCTCAAAAGTCAGGAAATAGCAGTTCGTCTGGTCGGTTTTTAAAAATTGCTATATGGTTTACGTTTAACTCATTCAGCATCATGCTTGCGCAAATTGATTATTAGCTGGTGCAATGTTTTGTTAGTTTTTTTCAACCTACCCACGAGTCTCCAACCAAAGGTATAAACAGATAGCTCAAACTTAAGCATAATGTACTTCCTTTTTGCAATCATGATCGCGAGTGATGCCAGGGAACGCTGATATAATTGCCGAAACTTACGACCCTTCATTTTCCCTGTGTCTAAAATTCGATAATTTTCAGACTTTCATTTACCATCTCTCAAGGAGCTTTGATAACAGCAGATAGGGCAGACCTTTGGTCAATTGATGCAATTGCTTGTTTTTGTTTTTCAGCTTCAATC